CCACATTATTCCATTTCATTACGACCACCACCAGTAGGAGGCGCCGAGGCCCAGGGAAGTTAAACAACTGCTGCAAAGCCACACAGCCTGTGTCAGCAGAGCGTGGACTTGACCCAAATCTGTCACCGCCACACGGTGATCGTATCAACACAGAGCACCGCTTCTCCCTAAGTGCTGGTCCCTGCACTCAGAGAGAATCACACAGCCTGGACCTCGTGGCTCCGTGGTTGAGCGTCAACCTATGAACCAGGAGGTCACGGTTCGATTCCCGGTCAGGGCACATGCCCCGGTTTTGGGCTCCATCCTGTGTTGGGCCGTGCAGGAGGCAGCCGATCCATGATTCTCTCTCATCGTGGATGTTTCTCTCTCTCTCTCCCTTCCTCTCCGAAACCAATAAAAATAGATATTAAAAAAAAATTACACGTGGTCCTAAGCCTCAGAGAGGTCTCAAATTAAATAAAACTCACACATTTCCGCCAGCAAAAACACCACAACCGGTTCGCTCCACTTTACTGTCACGGGGAACCGCCCTCCCCAGGCCGTGAGTCCTACTATGTGAGCACGTGAGCCACGGGATCCGCCCTCCCCAGGCGGTGAGGTCCTACTATGTGAGCACGGGAGCCACGGGATCCGCCCTCCCCAGGCGGTGCGGTCCTACTATGTGAGCACGGGAGCCACGGGATCCGCCCTCCCCAGGCGGTGCGGTCCTACTATGTGAGCACGGGAGCCACGGGATCCGCCCTCCCCAGGCGGTGCGGTCCTACTATGTGAGCACGGGAGCCACGGGATCCGCCCTCCCCAGGCGGTGCGGTCCTACTATGTGAGCACGGGAGCCACGGGATCCGCCCTCCCCAGGCGGTGAGGTCCTACTACGTGAGCACGTGAGCCACGGGAACGCCCCCCGCCCCCACGTACTCGTTGAGCTTGTAAATCTTCTCCGAGAAGAAGACTTCGTCCAGGAGCTTGTGGATGTTGCGCCGCTCGGCCGCAAGCAAAACACCGTCGTTCGCCAAAATCCCCAGGCAGGTGCCGGCGTGCCCGATGGCCTCCATGGCGTACTCCACCTGGTACAGGCGGCCTGCGGAA